GAAGCCTTCTTCCTTAACCCTTTGCTTTCATCAGAACAATGAATTCCCCCGAATTCAAGTAGGTGTGAAATACTGTCACAAAGTAAAGAAACAAATTAGCTCCTGGCGTTGGCATTTGGAGGTAGCAAGTGATTGGTGAAGTGAGATCCAGGGGTGGGAGGGTGAGAATAGGAGGCCAGAGGAGAAGGACAGAGAAGGTAGTATGCAGAGTGTGCGGCCTCCTGGGGAAGGGGGGTGCCATGGTGCGGGGAGGGTGTAGTGGGCAACCAGGAGGAAGGAAACAGGTTTTTGTTTAAGACAAGAGAGATGCCCAACTTTATATTTTTTCTGCAATTGAAATCAAAAAATAAAAAACAAAATACTTTATTATTTCAGGCATGGGACAGCATATTATTTATTGTAATAACTGTTACATAAGTGTGTGTGTACGGAGATGGCTAGGCATACTACAAGATATACAGACATGAATAGATTCTCTAATTCAAAACACAAAACTAACACGGGTTAGACCACCAGACATCCTCAGGGAGTAGAACCCCACCATTTATGAGTCCGTTCCCTTCAGATGTGATTTGGAACTCACCTGTGCCAGGCATTGCCCTGGCCAGGCCCCGAGCCTCCAGAAGTGGCCAGGAACCCACAGCTGCAGTCATCTGCAGCCTCACACACTCATATGCATTAGTACTCCTTGACACTGGGTGGGGAAGAACCCTGAAGAGTCCAGAGCTCTGTCCTGAGTTTCAGAACAGGGTGGGTGGAATAAAGAGGAGAGAGACTAGGCTCAAAGGAGTAAGAGGCAACAGACCGCAGCCCGGGTGTTGAATTTGAAGTTAGAGAAACATTAACACCAGCACCGTGCCTCACAATGGACATGTGAACCTAGCACACAGAGCCTAACAGACAGAGTATGACCTGCCACAAAGAATCATCATGACAGAAATAGTCAGTCCACCCTGTCTTAGCTTGTTACTGATGGTAAGTAACAATGGTTCCAGCACAACGCACAAGCCCACACACAGGTGCTTCCTCCATGCCATTAGTCCAAGGCCCTTTTATGCTGCACTGAAGAGCTCAAGCCACATTTCAGGGGTGATGGGGAGTGGCTCCAAATTTCCAAGGGAGACAGGATCATTGGATTTGGGTTTCAGACGATCACTGAATGCAGTGGGACGATTTAGCAAGCAGCAGAGAGCTGGAAAGAAAAGTGTGCATGGATTCTCTCCCCAGTAGTGATCATTGCTCTCCACGATCATGCTATTTTTAAAAAGATACTGTAAAACCTCATTTACTGAGATCTATAACAAGTAAAAGAATGCTGCATAACTCATAAGAATAGGAACAATGGCATCCATCTTTTTGGAAATAGACCACAATATAAAAGAGATAAGAATTTGAAATTTCCAAACTCATTCCCAGACCTGGTCAGATTGTAGTTTTATAATGTTTACTATCAAAGAGCCCCTAAAGCATATAAGCTCATCTTACTCTGTAAGTTAAAAGTTCTTAGCATGAGGTCTACCTTTGAATGGGCTTCCAACAGTCCCTAAAATCAGAAACAAAACCATAAACATCATTAGATGCTCAAAGAGGACTAAGAGCCAACCCCCAAATTAAAAACTATTACAAAAAATATAACTTGTGTGTGTGTGTGTGTGTGTGTGTGTGTGTGTGTGTGTGTGTGTGTGTGTGTGTGTAAGAGATTGACCTTGTATTGAAATTTTTGTCTTTGTTTACTTTGTTGTTGTTGTCTATTGTTGCTATTTTGGTTTTGGTTTGTTTGGTTAGTTTGGTTGGGTTCTTTGTTTTGTTTTTTTCAGACAGGGTTTCTCTGTGTAGCCCTGGCTGTCCTGGAATGTTGGTTCTAACACAGTATCTCACTAACATCTCCCAAGCCATCCTTGAACTTACGATCCTCTTGCCCCAGCATCCTGGATGCTATAATTACAGGCAGATGCCACCATGCCTTGCACTTTGAATGTTAATGAACCCTAACTTAGACATTATGCCTGAACCTGTGGTGCTTGGATATGCATAGGCATTTTGGATTTAAATCCCAGGCTGAGCTCCAGGGCTTCTCTCGGAACACCTGCCACAAACTGCAAATGCCTTGAAGGTCCTCTTTTTTCTCATGCTCTGCATCTAACCCTTCAGGGCTGTCATCTCTACGTTCATCATCTACCAGGAGTCCAGCATTTGATTCACTGTTTCCACCCTGATACAATTCTCCATCACTCTTTTCCAGTACCCTAGTGGTCCTGACCAGCCTCTCAGTGTCTTCCTTGCCCTTGTCTAGACTGTGACTACAACAGTGCTTGCTCAAAGCCTTCTAGCAGCTTCCTATCTCCCCAGAAGCTTCCCATCTCTGTGGACCTGTGACATTCCACATAGCCTGATACCTTGTTTTCCCGACTCTGATCTATCTCCACCATAACCTGTGTGGCTTCCCCAAGGCCTTCATACCGGCAGTGAGTGTCCTTTGCCTGGAAGGAAGGCTTTTCTGACTGTTCATGTGGCCTGCACTTTTCCCTGCTGCAAATATGTGCTCAGATAACCCATCTTGAGCCATCTGTTTTAAAATGGCAATCTTTTCCCCAGAATAGCCCCTCCTCTGCTATATCTTTCTCCTGCACTGACCAAGAATATGTTACACTCAGTGTTTGCTCACCCACCAATATAATGTAGGTATGGGGAATTAGGAGGGCCTTTTTGTTTCTCTTCTCATAACATGTAAGGACCCTATCACAATCTCAGCATAATGCATAATGCTTTCTGTTCAATGTAATTTTTGTGTATTATTTCTATAATGATACAGGATTGTAGGTGGAGTTTCTCTGTGTCTTGACAGCTGCTCCCAAGTAAGCATTCAGAGAATTATTATTAATTACAAATGCTTGGCTGATAGCTCAGGCTGGTTACTAGCTAACTCTTACATTCTAAATTAACCAATATCTCTTACCTACCCTCTGCCCCATGACTATACCTTCTTTCAACGGGGCATGTTCATCTCGCTTCCCTCTGTGTCTGCTCTCAACTCCCGAGATGCTGTCCTTCCCAGCCTTCTCTCTGCCCTGAAAATCCTTCCCAGCTATCAGCCAATCATCTTTTTATTAACAATGAGAGCAACCGTTTTCACAGTCTACAAAAGGATTATTCCACAGCACGGCATATTCTCAGGTACTCTGCATCTTTTCTCATTTACTTTTTACTTAAAATGGTAATTGACAAGATGATAATTGAAGACTTTTGTGGTTTCTACCCTCCCCATGGTGACCTGGAATCTGCTTCTAACAGTTACTTGGCAACTGAAAGGTCACCTCTGTCCACATCTTACAGGGTCTTCAAATTCCACACTACCATTTGAGTTGCTGTGGAGATTCCTTTCGGTTTGTGATGGATTAATAATTATAATTTGATATCACAATATCTATATATTCTAAGACTTCATTGTTTGCTGGTAAGGGTGCTTTAACTAACAATAACTTCATCCTTTGTTACATGGTTGTAGTCCTATGCTGGAAATATGACACATTTTACTAATAAATGACACTTGCTAATTTGCCTATTTTATACATTAAGACTTCTTTTTTAAGTTTTTATTTTATTTTTTGTTAGAAAGAAAATTATTTTACATGTCAATCCCAGGTCCCTCTCCCTCCTCTTCTCCCTACCCCCCCCCCAACTAACGCCCTACCTATCCCATAACCTTTCTGCTCCCCAGGGAGAGTGAGGCCTTCCATAGGGGGTCTTAAAATCTGTCCTATTCTTTGGGATAGGGCCTAGGCCAACCCCCTTGTGTCTAGGCTCAGGGAGTATCCCTCCATGTGGGATGAGCTCCTAAAGTCCATTCCTATGGTAGCCATGAGTACTGATCCACTACAAGAGGCCCCATAGATTTCCAAGGTCTCCTCACTGACACCCACATTCAGGGAGTCTGGATCAGTCCCATGCTGGTTTCTCAGCTATCGGTCTGGGGACCAAGAGTTCTCCCTTGTTCAGGTCAGCTGTTTCTGTGGGTTTCACCAGCCTGGTATGGACCCCTTTGTTCATCAGTCCTCCTTCTCTGCATCTGGATCAGTTCAGCTCAAGATTTAGCTGGGTGTCTGCTTCTACTTCCACCAACTGCTGGATGAAGGCTATAAGATGGCATATGAATTAGTCATCAATCTCATTATCAGGAGAGGGCATTTAAGGTAGCCTCTCCTCTGTTGCTTAGATTGTTAGTTGGTATCAACTTTGTAGTTCTCCAGACATTTCCTTAGTGCCTGATTTTTCTTTGAACTTATAATGTCTCCCTCTATTATATTATCTCTTATCTTGCTCTCTTCTGTTTTTCCCCCAACTCAACCTCCCTGTCCCATCATGTCTTCCTCACCCCTCCTGTCCTCCCCTTCTCATTCTCCTAGTTCCCTCTCCCCTCTCCCCCATGCTCCAATTTGCTCAGGAGATCTTGGCCCTTTCCCCTTCTCCAGGGGGCCATGTATGTCTCTCTTAGGGTCCTCCTTGTTTACCAGCCTCTCCAGCAGCCTGGGCTTCAGGCTGGCAATTCTTTACTCTATTTCTAAAATCCACATATGAGTGAGTACATACAATGCCTGTCTTTTTGTGACTGGGTTACCTCGCTCAGAATGGTTTCTTGTAGTTCCATCCATTGGCCTGAGAATTTCAAGATTCACTAGGACTTCTTTTCTTTGGCTTTTTGGCATTTTGAGATAGGGTCTTGCCGTGTAGCCTAGACTTGTCTGGAACTCTCAGCAATCCGCTGGGTTTGTCGTCATGTGCCACCACACTCAGCTGCGTTTGCAGTTTTTTTATTCTAAGTATTCCTAAAGAACAAATGATGTGTGCTTAGCATGTAAAACCTGGGCTTGATTGCTGAAAATCTCAAACAACAGTAATAAGCCATCATCTGAGGCCTTGGCAATACCAATTCATGTGGTAAAGCTATTTTTTTCTATTACACTAGTTTCTGATGTTGCTGTATTTCTTTTACACTGTTTCAGGCTTTACAAGATGAACTAGAAACCCGCTGTAATCAGGTGCGAAGTGCAGAAAAGAAGTTACAGCATAAAGAACTAGAGGCACAGGAACAGGTAGGTCCTCCCTGGCTTGTTTGTCCTTCCTTCTCCAGCCCAGCGTCTGCTTCAATGTGTCAGCTAGGATCCTCTCGCTTTGAGAACAAAGTGTCCCACTAGGTCATCAGAAACAAGGACAAGCATTACCAAACAGAACAAGAGTCTAGAGATAGTGAAGGGTCTGGAGCTGCATCTCGGACATTCTGGTGGCTCTAAACCCTTTTGTGGCTCAATTCTCAAAGCAATTCCAAGATGGCTACAGCACTGCCACATATCCCACCCATATCTGTGCTCTCTAGATGCAGAAGGTCATTGGTTTTTAGACTCTTGTCCTGAGGAATAAGGAACCCTTCAGACTCTGACTTTAGACACTGCCTTCTTTTATACCGTTTTTCTTATAGCAGGTCACATGCTCTGCTAGCATACCCAATCAAGGGCAAAAGGACTGAGAGTACCCCAACTAGCCATGGCCAGTCAGGACTCACCAGCTGATAGTGGAGTTACACAAGGGAAAGAAAACAAAGAAGCAGAGAAATATATGTTGGGTAGACAGCCAACAGTATCCTCAGTACCATCATTTAAAAATAAGTGAACATATATTCTGATTTCTCTTCAGATTGTATAAAGCTCCATAAAATAAATGGACATTATTTAATAAACAGGCATAAATCATGTTTTCTTAAATCATGTTTTCTTTTGAGTTTTAATGACCTCTTTCTTTCCATTCTTTTAATAAAATAAGCTGACTATGACAATAGCTAATGACCTATTTTATTTTCAAATGACAGGCTTATTTTTACTCAACTCTTAGTTTTAATGAATTATAGCAAGTGGCAATTTTGACACTTTGAAAGCTTTAACAGTGAACCAGCAGAGAATGAGTGTTAATGAGATCCTGGGTGATTCATTGTCCTTGGCCACTGGGTATAGTCTCGCCACCACTTCCTCAGTGTCACAATACACTGTGCACCACCAGCACCCCCACACCCCCAGGAGTGTTGCCAGATGTGGATACCTCAGCTGTGTCAGTAAAATTTGCTACAGGATCTCAGGACAGGTCATTTTGACTTTTGAAAACCATAAGGGTTCAGGTCTGGTCACGGAGGCTCTGTTCATCTCTGGAGATATTGACAGAGGGCCTTGAGAAGCAGGGAGTGGAACAAAATGGTGCTGGGTTCTAACAGTTGCTACTCTGTGCAACTGTCAGATCTTCTCCCACGTTCTACAGCTTGTCTTGGCATTCCGTTAACAGACTCACCAACCAAAAGGTTTGTAACCGAGTTCAGTTGATCAGCTTTTCCTCTTGGGGATCATGTTCTTAATGTCAAGCTAAGAACGTTTGTCCTGGCACTAAGTTCCAGATTTTCTTTTTCCCTGAAAGTTTTACAGCTGTATGATTTACATTCAAGTATGTGATCCATTCTGAGTTAAGTTTTATATAAAGATATGGGACTTGAAAAGTGAAAACTTACTGTGTTGACTTGATTCCTGTAACTGCTAGCTAGGCCATGAAGTGTTCCCTGTAGAATCTATTTCACATATAATTCTGTTTCCACAGATAAATATGCATGTATTTCTGTATTGTGTATTATATAGTATCCATGTCATACAGTTGAAAACAGTGGAAATACTCAGAGTGAAAAACAAAAAGCACCCATACTTACCAAATGTCTACAAGAGGACAGACAGTGTACAAGAAGCATTTAATCCTCTCTGTGACCATAGAAAGGCAGCATTGCCATCTTTGTTTTACAGATGGCCACAGAAGACCACACCCTGAATTCTAGACCTTCCTATTGTGACTTTAAAGTTCATTTCTAGTTAGTATAAGAAAAGAAGAAACAAACTGGTGCCAGTTTCAAATCACAGGCTTACTAATGATGGCAAGAAAGTAAACCTGGAATTCTAAATGTCTGTGACATTAGCTAATCCCATTGACCTTCTACAGGCAGAGAAATGCACAGAACCAAGGAAATGAACACAGGGCAGATTTGGCCACAGATGAAAATGAATTTTTAGGTGGCAGTGAGGTGGCATGCGGGTCCAAGTGGTATGTGTCTAATTGACACGGATAGTTACCTGAGCCCCGTCCTCTGCCCAGGACACTTGTAGGTAAAAGAATTAAAAACAAGCTTTTGAAAAGCAGAAAACTTTCTGGGGCTCCCCGGAGGGCTGCGGCTTCTCCATTTTGTGGTAAAATGTGACTTAAGGTAAAACTTTGTTGACACCACTTAAATTCATGGCAAAACTTCACACAGAAAATTCCATAATATGTTGAGAGTTGGGAAATCAAGAAATCCCAAATGAACAATAGGGAAGGATTCAGGAACTACTTTCAGCCTTTTTTTGTTGTTGACTTCTTTTTGATCATCAAAGTTGCTTTCATGTTTGCAGTGACAATAGCTTTTTAGAATACTTCTTACACTAATTCCTGATATCTTCTGTTAGGCTACAGTTTACCAAAGAAACATCAGGAAATACCCGTGGATGAAGCTGAGTATGCCTTAGTCATTGCCACCATGAGCTGTTAGGTTCTTTGCACAAGGTCTTAACATGTAGCTAGAACAGAAAGGCCAGTTGTTTCAACAAAAATGAGTAGCACAGAATCTGTACTTTGTAAATAAATAATACTCACCTATAACTTGATTTAACCTTTTATCTGAATTTGACTCCTGGTTCCCATTCATTTTATGACTCCAAGAGAAACAGTGAAAAAGGATTGGGTCTGGTGTGGTGGTGGTTTCTTAGGGTCTCCATTTGTATGGACTTGGGGTATCCAAAACGTTGACAACATTATAATATGCCTTTCCTTGTTAGCACCCATCAAAGCAGCTACAGTAACAGTAGCTAGCTTCACATCACCAGGCCAAACAACTGAAGCTACTTAGAACTTTCTTCTCTTTCTTGTCAACTAAATATTATTAAACTGATACTAGTTGCATAAAAAAATCAAACTGAAACTGGCAGAATTACAAAAGACAATTTCCTAGGCTACTTTTTATAACTTACTTGCTTTAAAAAAAAAAGTTTCAACTGTCTCTGGTTTTCATTTAAGAAAAATTCTTGTGTTTTGATTTTACAAAAACAGAAAAAAATGAATGAGGCATTTTAAAAGTTATGTTTTTAATTAAAAACAAAAGGCTCCTTCTCATCAGGTCTTGATGGGTGGTATCCTTTCTGCCCACCACTTGCCTGGGTGCCATCAGCTCATCTGTCCCCTGCACTAGCAGATCAGCAAGCCAGGCAGAGCCTCAGGGAACACACCTCCATCAGTGGCCCTTATGTGCAGATTCAGAGAACTAACATGAGACAATTAGTCTCCTAAGTTAATCTTATAAAACATAATTCTTCCTGTGATCCCCAAATAGTATTAAGTGTAATCGCCACTTGTCCACACTAGGTGTTATATATGTCCTATTCCAGATAAGATCCGGTAAGAAAGCCATAACTGCAGGAAAGGGTGAGGGATCAGAGCTCTGACCAAGCTGCCTCCTTGTGAAAGACACAGCCCTGCAGAAAGGCTGGGCCACTGCTGATGTATGGCCCAGAAGTAGCTGGGTATGCCCTGCTCCCTCCCTGTGTGCTATTTTCCATCACGGTAACACAGCATAAAATGGATAAATGCTGACTATCACCTGAGTTCAGGCGCAAATCAGAATGTTATGGCTTACAACTAAAATTCACTTTTGGGACCAAATGTTTTATAATTCACAAAGAGAATAGATTATTTGATCTGGCAAATTATAGAGTAGAGAAGAGAAGGGAAAAAAGGAAATAACCTGAACTTTTTACTCAGTATTTTTAACACTGTATAAATCATATTTCTATAACACTGTCATTCAACAGAGCCAGATTCTGGCCTATACAGTGTGGATACTAAAACACATGTAATAATCCCCCTCTTTCAGACTGGTGATCTAAAAGTTGAAAACAGGTTTAGCTTTTGTATGGACTTAATTGATTTTGCCAATGGGTAAGGAAAGATTTCATTAAGTCTAGTGGTCTCTATTGATATATTGACTTTCTCCTTTTTCATATTTGATTACATTGATCACTTTGTTTCTCATAAAAATTATTTTAAATAAGTATTTTTTAAAAACCAGCACTTCAGAGACTTCCTAATAAATAACTTACACAGAGCTGACCATTTTGTGGAAGAGGTACTTTTTCTTTTCTACTTAATGTTTTATATTTTCTCCCTGCCTGGTGCTGAAAATGGAGCCTAGAGCCTCATACACACTCAGCAAGTGATCTACCACTAAGTCATACCCAAGCCTCATTTTAGTCCTCACAGGCCAGGTAGAAGACACCAAGATAAATAAGTTGTAGCTCCCGCTGTCAAGGGTTTTCAGTCTCACAATACCATGAAGCCAGGGTTGATGTAGACTTCAGCCTGGGAGTTAGACTGGGGCTTTTTCTTCTCCCAAGCTCTGAGACTCAGTCTAAGTCATGGAAAGAACATAGAGCCATGATGCTCCCTGGGAAGAGTAGGGGTGAGGATGCTGGCAGGAGAGGGCTGGGTTCCCAGTGCCCTACGTAGGGGTTGGGCCTAGTGACAGGGAGCCATTTTAAGAGCTTAGGTACCCAGGTGACACAGCTCCTCCCATGGCTAGTCAGGAAAGAGCTGCCACTTCTGCCTCCAGCAGCCTTCAGTGAAAAGCTCCTGGCTCCCACCTACCCCACCACCTCAGGCTATCCCTAGCTTTCTAGGCAGCATTTCTGCAGCTCACTGCTTTAGCCCCTAATAGTGTGTGATATGTCCAGGTCTAGACTGGACAGGCACAGGTGGCCCGTAGTTTGTTTTAAAATACATAGTTTCTGAAAGTCACTCACCCCTCACACTTCAGTCATGGTTTTGTAGCCCCGAAACTTCATGATTAAGGCCTAAACACATTGGTTAATTTAAGGGATAATCTAGTGGTCAGAGCCAGTCTCCATGGTCACTGTGTGCTGAGGAATGAGGTTGTTCCAGAGACCCCATCAAGGTCCAAGAGAGGAAAGTGGGGAGGCTTCATGAC